GAAAACATGGTCAACAACGCTGTGGAGCCTCACGACAATGAGAACATGGAAATTGAAGGGGAGAACGAGGAAAATTACAATGAAGAAGGTGAAATCTGTTTTAGATATTTATCATATCCCAACAATCAACTGCTCACATTTATCTGAGATGAATCATTAGATCGATATTCACTAATGAATGATTGAATACTCTAGTAGCAATGATTATTCAGTCATAATTATCATTAATTTTGATAGGACAAATGCCTCCACTAAATCCTCCTCTCATTGTGGGAAAGGATATACATTAACGGAGAACTCGTTTTTTCCAGAATTTCATTCGCTCAATGCACAGTTGGATCAATTGAACTCTGTGTTGGATACGATCGAGATGAAAAACGACGACGTGCAAGCTGAATTGATTGAATTGTTAAAATCCAACAAAGAAACGAGAAAGCAGTTTCAAGAATGTGTTAAAAAGGGTGAGCCAACGACGCAACCCCCTGGCTCCCACCAATAATCTCAAATCACTACAAACTCTTTAATTTAATTAAAACAAAAAACCATTACAAATTCACTGAGTGAATTCCTCATGTACAGTCCTTAGAATTAAGATACGAAGATATTTAAAATGATAATTAAGATTGCTAAGATTATATTTCGTTGTCAGTTCTCAGTGCAGGTGCAATAAACGTAATCACCAGAAAATAGCAAATATTTTTTATCAATTATTAAATGCAGTACAAGGAAAATTGTGAGAGGAATTTTCATTAGAGAATTTCTTCAGTTAAAAAAATACATTTGATATTTCCTCTCTACTTACTTAAAGGTATCTCAATAAAAAAATTAATTCAGAATGAAAATGTGAAGGAAGAGTACATCAACTCCTCATATTTTTGAAAATCTAACTCCTCAATCAAGTGGACATTTGGCTTGTTATTTTGGAGATGATCCAATACGACTTGTCCTCGTGTCTTTGTACCTGCGAGCTCGATATCAGCGTGATAATCTGTTTGTTTGGTAATTAGTTCTGGATTTATTAGGCAAGCTGCCAGGAAGGCATCACATGGTCTGTAGGTGCTCTTCTTCACTCGTCTGGAATAAATTCCACCTTCTATTTTGTTGAGCATTTCTACTGGCTCGGAGGACTCCTTTCCGAGGATGTTGTCCCTCCACTCCTAAAAAACGTTATTAATTATTGATTCAATTTAATTCAAAGTAATTGAAATGAAAGATATTCTCACGTGAGTTATAGTGGATTTAGTGCAGGATTCCCATGGAAGTAGCCACAGGGGTTTGATATTACTGCCTAGGACGATGTGAACACTCTCACAATCTGCATAGAAATTAAATTCAGCCTGGGCCGAGGCATTTCCAACAGCTGAAGGGGAATAAAAATAAATTTGTCACAGGTTTCCCCTCACAAATGAAATACAATTCAATGAAATTTAATTACCAGTCGAGTTACCCCCCATTACGTAGAAATCTTTAATAATATCAAGGATCTCAGGATAAACTTTCATTGCAAGTGCGATATTTGTTAATGGACCCAAACAAACCAGAGAAATTTCATCTGCAAATTAAAAAAAAAGACGTTGAACAACCACTCGTTAATTTTTATGTTTTCCCTTAAACTTTAGCCTCTCACTGGGATTTTTAGTTATTATTTCATGGAGACCAATGACAGCATGATCTGACTGGAGTTTGCTGATGTCTACATCATCCGAAAAAACATCTCCAAAGCCATCATCTCCGTGGTAAAGAATTTCCTCAGCCTTTTTGGAACTCTCAACGACGACTAGAGCAGAACGTGCCCCTTTGTACACTGGGATCTGCAACATTTTTTTTTAATTTAAATAAATTTTCCACAAGATCGAAAATGGGAGAGCGATAGAGAAAAAACAAATTCTTACGTCAAGTGCGTTGCAAGTTTTGAGGATCCTGAAGACGTTCTTCACGACGTTGTCGAGTTTTGTATTCCCGTTGACACACGTCACAGCTTTTATCTCCAATTGCTTCCTTTTGTGAGCTGCTATCAGCATAATCAGAGCAATCGCATCATCATATCCAGCATCGCAATCCACAATTACCTTTTTCATCTTTCAAGATCTGTGGAACCCTCTGAACTCGAGAAAAATCAGAACGTCTGTGAACGAGGTAAGGCGTCAGCTCCGGTTAATCGTTCAACTCTAATGATAATCAAAATCATTCATAAATCAGATAAGAAATTCGGTGAAAGTTGATTGGAACTCGTATTATTGACTCAGAAACTTATTCAGACGGAAAATATCATTAAATACTTTCGTAAATCGAGAAATCGCAAGAATTTACCAATGTTTTCGTTTCAATTATTTTGTTTCGTTTCATTCAATTGATGAAATTTAATTTAATTGCCCTCACGTAGAAACCGATGTAAGCCCTTCAATCGAATATAAACATTGGGTTTCCCCTGCAGACGACTGGCGTCACGAGATTTCCCCTCACGTAAATAAATTTGAAAATATCACGCTGCCGAGGGAATTTAGGAGAAAAAGTCTATAGTACTTTGATATAGAAAATGAGACACTCTTCAAAAAAGTTCTTAGACGCTTGACCGTGGAAATTCTAGTTATCGAGATAATCGATCGATTCGAAAATGCGACAAATTGTGGGAAGGGAAAGGGAATGAAAGAGGAAGTGAAAGAGTCTAGAGGGACGGAGAAGTGAAAATAATGATTTCATGGGGTTGTCAGGGTGAGGTTATAATCACGGATGTCTCCGTTGTCCAGCAAATACCAGGACAACGAGCCCTTGGAGTCTAAACTTCAATTTCTACCGTCAAATGTCAAGGAAAGGGGAATTAATTCCCCTTGAAGATCGATTATCCTGTTTTCAGGGTTGAACCAGTGATTTTGTGGTTTTGTGAAGAGAAATTCAAGGATTTCACTAGACATCCAGGGAAAACATCAATAAGATGGATGAAGCCAAGTTCCTGAAACGGTGAGAGGCAATTCATGTAGAAATTCTCATAAAATATTACAAATTTTCATGAGGCGATCCACAATTTTGGAAAATTGGTTTTATTGGGGGTTTTTATTTGATTTAGGAAGGTGAGATCAGGAGCATTGGATGTCCACCCGACGGAGAAGGCTCTAGTCGTTAATTATGACGTGGAGGCTCTTATCCTGGGTGAACTAGGTGATCCAATGCTCGGTGATCGTAAGGAATGCCAGAAAATAATCAGACTGAAGAGCTTGAATGCCGACACCAACGTCTCTCTTCTCGCCAAGGAAGTGATGGAGAAATGCTCATTGATCCACGAGTCAAAGCTCCACGAGGTCGAACAATTAATTTATTATCTGCAAAACAGAAAGATCAATAACGAAGGGTTGGAAGGGAGTTTTCAGCCACCAAGACCCACTTCTTCGACCTCAACGACCGTTCCATCCTCTGAGAATGGTGATCCAGAGCGGGCAGTAATTTCCAACGTCGATAGCTACATTGAGCTCCTCTATGAGGAGATCCCAGGGAAAGTCAAGGGGTCAGCTCTCATTCTGCAGCTTGCTAGAGTCCCTGACAATCTCTTGGAGCTCACGAAGAACGAATCCCTTCTGAGTGCTCTGGCAAGAGTTCTCAGGGAGGACTGGAGACGCAGCATAGAACTCTCTACTAACATTATCTACATCTTCTTCTGCTTCTCAACGTACTCCCAGTTCCATAATATCATCCTGGAGTACAGGATTGGATCTTTGTGCATGGAGATCGTTGACTTCGAGCTCTTAAGGTACGACCAGTGGAAAGATGACATGGAAAAACGTCGTCGTCACTTCGAGACATCCACAGGACTGGTGTTGTTCCCCTCGACGACCTGTGACAACAACGACAAGAAGCTGAAGCTGACAGACGATATCTGGAGTACTGAGGGTCCCCTGGACTACGAGATCAAGCGTAGATCCTCGGAGATGCATCTGTTGATCTCTGAGACTGAGATAAAGCGACTCAAGGAGGACCTCGAGAAGAGCAGAAAGAAATTCAAGAGCCTCACCAAGAAGCAGGAACAGCTTCTGCGAGTTGCCTTCTACCTGCTCCTAAATATTGCGGAGAATACCGAGGTCGAGAGAAAAATGAGAAAGAAGAATGTAATCGGGATGCTGATAAAGACCCTCGACAGAGTCAACACTGATCTCTTAATACTAGTGATAACATTCCTGAAAAAGTTGTCGATATTCAGGGAAAACAAGGACTCAATGGCTGAGGACAATATCGTGGAGAAGCTCCCGAGGCTTCTCCAGAACAATAATCCAGACCTTCTCCTAAGCACTCTAAAATTACTGTTCAATCTCTCATTCGATGGAAAACTCCGCGGCAAAATGGTGAGGGTTGGACTGCTCCCTAAATTGGTGAAACTCCTGGCTACCAGTGATCCTCAGAACAAAAACACCATCCTGGGACTGCTGTATCACCTCAGCATGGACGACAAAGTGAAATCGATGTTTGGTAATAGTGAGTGTGTCCCCATGGTAACTGACATGGTTCTGGAGGACTGCGAGGAGAGGACCAAAAGGGAACTCATTGCTCTCTGCATCAACTTGGCATGTCACAACAGAAATGCCCAGATCATGGTTGAGAACAATCGGCTGCAGGGGCTCATCAGGAAGGCCTTCAAAAATCAGGATCCACTCATCATGAAGATGATAAGAAATATCTCACAGCATGACAGTACTAAAGAACATTTCGTGGAATTTGTTGGAGATTTTGCAATGGCTCTTACCCAATCTGACTCCCAAGACTTTGTCTTGGAAATTGTGGGAGTTCTGGGGAACCTAGTGCTCCCAGACTTAGACTACGCTCAGATTCTTCAACGTTGCAATTTAATCCCCTGGATTAGAAATAATTTGGTGCCTGGCAAAGTTCAGGATGATCTGGTGCTCGAGGTGGTCGTTCTTCTCGGGACAGCAGCCTCCGACGAGGACTGCGCCAGGCTTCTCTGCAAGGCTGACATCCTCTTGTCTTTGATAGAACTACTCAAAGCAAAACAGGAGGACGATGAGATAGTTCTGCAGATTATTTACGTTTTTTATCAAATCGCTATGCACGAGTCCACGAGGGATTATCTGATTAAAGAGACTGGAAATGAGGCTCCAGGATATCTCATCGATCTCATGCACGATAAGAATCCGGCCATCAGGAGAGTTTGTGATGCTTGTCTCGATGTAATTGCTGTAAGTATTTATTGCAGAAATATAGACATATTTAATTAATTACAATCAAGTCATGAGGATTTTTAGTTAAAAAATTATGCGTTTGATATGAAAGACCGTTATCCACTAGAAAAAATTATTGAATCATTCCAGTTGTGCGACAAGGACTGGGCAGCTAGAATTAAAGTCGAAAAATTCAGATCTCACAATCAGCAATGGCTGGAAATGGTGGAGTCTATTGCAGTAGACAACACGAATCATCTGATTGTCGATGAGGACGACAGTCTCCCACCTTTCATGAGTGGAGACCTCCTGAAGCACACGATGCTGTTCCCATCGGGGAATTCCACTTCCTTCATCACCGATGACGGAGATTCAGTCATCAGAGGGGCTCTAGACTCGTCAGATAATTCCAGTCGTCCTGCGAGTCGGTAATTAACTCAATTTCTTTTCACGATAAATTGCGTGTACTCTCTTGAATGTCCATTGATTTTTTATAATTTTTGTTGTAGATACAGTCGAGATTTTGATGATTTAACAGACCTCATGGCTCGCTCGAAATCTCGAATGTCCGTTGGTTCGGGTATTGAGGATCTCTATCACAACCCAAAAGTGAAATTCACAGAGTCTGATAATTCCCATGTCCTTATATAAAGGGAAATCAAGCTCAAGTGCTTCATCCACACACCCTAGCCTTTTCGACTGGGGAAAAGTATTATGCTTATTTTTCGCGAGGAATTTAGCTCTGGAGAACCTAAATGTATGCACAATTCGCAGAAGTTCGGAATTTTTCAGTCGACGTTTAGGAGTTTTTATTTGAAACTAGTGCCTTTATGTTGTCAGACGATTTAGCTCTACCACTTTCAACTCAACTTCCACATTCGCTAGTCAAAGTATTATTTAAGCAACTGTCCACCTGAGGAACAATTTATTTCAATTAAAAAACAATGAAATTATTGAAGAGCCAATAGTTTTTTCTTATAACGAAAATTATTAAAGTAAATTGTTTCATCAGGTTTAATTGCAATGTAGTTAAGTATTATATGGAGCTTAGATGAATTCTGCTATCGTCCTTTGAATGTTCCATAATTTATGTAAATTATTTATTTAAAACACCACTGATCTCCTGCATTTATCAATGTGTATCATAGTCAAGTACTTAATCATTTGATTAAACCAATTAATTGTTTAAACCATTACTTTTCATGTTTTTTATTCTAGAAATTGAGTTTATGTTCAGTACAAAATGAATTATTCACTGAATTTTTCGTGGTTTGTTGTTAGAACTTAAACTTTTGCTGATTAATTTTTCCCCATTCGAGTGGAAAACAATCGTGTAGCTATTGTCACCATCTGTGTAGAACGAGTGCTCTTTAAGTCCCCAGCTCACAGGACTGTCAGCAAATCCTTGCACATGAAGACTCAACCAAGATGACGATGCACTTGAGTGCTCCACGTAATCCTGCAATTTCTTATAAATTCCCTCCAGTCTTTTCCTGCTGAAAAAACCTCGCCATTCTGCGAAGAAGACATCACCCCTGGAGGCATTAGGACAGGGAGATATATAACTGTTCATGTAATTCTCTGGATCTTCGTTTTTCCTGCAAGTAAAGAAAAAGTTTGGAATTCCTGGATACCAATTTACAACAATAATTGACGAAGTCAATTGGTCATAAGCTCTTGGGTTTTTGTTTTACAATGACTTTGGGAAAAAAAATTACTTACACGTCCCCTCCAATACTGATGATCCCTAACCACTCGATAAATTTCTCGTCATTGCAATCAGGAGACACTGATGGTATCCTGCAATCACACACTAGTCTCTTGGAATATCTCTGACGACACAGTGAGACTTTGTATCCTTTTTGGTGGAACCAGGCTGCAACTGACGACGGACACAGGTTTGTTTCTGGAAACAATACAATTGCAAAATATAAAATCAGCGATCATGCACGGAAAAATGTAATTTTAATTCTTACAGATTCTCATTTTGTTTCAATTCAATTCAATGTTTACCTGGTGCTTCCCAAATGACGATTACATCGAACACCTGCTCCAGATTTTCCTCCAGACATTTGCGCACCCTCTCGTAATTCCTCTTCCCTGGGGTAAACGCTTCCTTCTTCAAATCCACTTGCACCACTGCATAAACCATACAGTACAGCAAAAAATTTGGGAGAAAAAATGAAAATAATTGAAAGACATGACTCAACTCCCCATTGACGATTTATCATCAAAAAATATTTATATACAAAATAAAATAAAAATAACAAAATTGGAAGCGTCATCACAGTCCACATGTACAAATTCCTCGAAGACTAGTGTACAAAATACCGTATAAACATTTAAATTAGTACCAGCATTCGTTATCATTAACATTAATGGAAAACAATAGTCTGTGTCACCTCAGTACTGCTGATTTCCACGTCACAAAGAAATCGTTATTTTAATTACGATAAAATTATCACAAATTTATTATCATAATAAATATTCTCAGCTGTTCATGATCTTTAATTCATGAGTGAAGTGGCGAAACGACTCGAGTGAATCATAAAATCGTTAGGTAGATCATTAATAAATGAATTTCGTTGTTAAAACAGCCTCCAAAAACAATTTTACAGAGAACACTATGAAAGTTATTGCTATCACATTCTGACGGAATTAAAGATTTCAAAGTTTCAATTCCCTATTTTGATTTCCCGAAATCATTCCTACACTGCGAGAAAAACAAACATTCTCCAATAAATCGTTATACGAAGATTACAAAGAAAAAATAGAATATGGTGCTGAATATTTAAAGACTGCCTGACATTTCCTGGAGCAGCTGTTGGTTATCCTCTCAGTGCCTGACCACTTGACCCTAAAAGTTCGATCGCTAAATCGGAATAATCCCTTTGTAATACTAAAATGAGAATTGGGAATTCTCTATTTCTCTGGGACCTATTTTGTCAAAAAAAAGCCTCAAGCAAGTGACAAAGTAGGACTAGTATCCAAATCTACATTATTGACCCTCAATTCCTCCCTGAATGCCTCGAGCTCGTGCTGAGTGACTCCATGCCAACCCTCAAGTTCACTGAGACGCCTGAGGCCCTCGCAATTCTCCATAATCAATCTCACAGTCCTCATCGACAGATCCCCACCATAAAGAATCTTGAGTTCCTCCAACTCTCTCATTTTATTGACAGCAAAGACCTTCTGCATCGTCAAATCGCCAACTCCAGTGGAGGATCCAAGCTGAATAAATTTAATCGCCAGACAGTTGCTCAACAGAAACTCCAAATGACAGCTGGCGCAATCAGCGACACACTTGAGCCTCTGGAGTTGCCTGAAGGGCTCGACCTTAAGAGCCCTGAACTGGGTGGAGAGTCCCTCGGAGAAATCGCAATTATAAAACGTGAGGCTCTTAATTCCAGGGCAGTACTGACTAATATATACCAGAGCACTCCTGTCAATCTCCTCCACGTGCTCCAGATGAAGACTCCTTATCCTCGAGTTGGTCATCTCCAACAGATCATTCACCTTGTCGCCATAAAAATCACAAGACAATAGCTTGAGCTCCTGGAGGTGCTCCAGTGCAGAGAGAATCCTGAGATCAGTTCTCTCATCACACATGATCGATACACTAGTGACGAAGGGGCATACGTCGACGAACAAGAACAGATCATCAATCGTGACGTTTCTAGTTTCGAGGACCTTGAGAGCAAGACTCTTGTCCTGATTGATTTCCTTGAGGGAGATGGCCTCGAAGACTTCCCCAACGTCGTCACAACGTCCCATATTCTCGAGCCAGGGGAGTCTCATGAGAAGTTCAGAGAATCCACCTATCGAGACAGAAGTCCTGAACAGCTTGACTTCTTTCAGAAACTGACAATTGAGAATCGAGGGAATACTCCTGTCTGTCACTGACCTCGAGGCAATGACGTCGAGAGCCCTGAGCTTCTTGCAGGTCTCACCCACCACGAAGATGATGTTGTCAGTGCAGTCTGAACAGAGGGTGAATGATAACAGATTTGGCATATGAGATACACCATTAATTATCAATTTCTCAATCTCAGATGTTCTCCAACCAGCGGAGCCTGAGCCAAGGTCGAGCACCTCAAGACCCGACATGTTCTCGAGGTTGTTGTATAGGACGTGGCGCATTATCTTCGGCCACTCAGCGAACTCCATCGAGCGCAGATTGTGATGGAGCAGCACCTCGATGAGATTCACCAGGACACTCACCTCTGTGAGGAAGACGTTGATCGGTTGAAAATCGTTGTAAGTGTTTCGACGATCATTTATCAGGAGTTTAATGGCAGTCAAGGATTTCAGAGCCATTCGGTTGTACAAGTGACGGGGAATGCTTGAGCTCAGACGGTGCTTCATTGATTTCAAGAGATTGTGCAGACGTTTTGAACCACCTCGGGGATCTGTTCGTGATTCGCTGCAGATCGGAGGGACTAGGGATTTACCGAAGTCTGTTACGTATTCGCCGATGGAGCAGAGTGCCAGCTCCTGCAGCGCAGGCACTTCATGCTTCCGGGGCATTTTTACAGGCTGGAAAATTTCGGATTGACCATTAGGTCGTGAACACTAGGTCGTCGAGCTTCCAGGGCTTTTAGGGGATTTATTGAGGGATAAGATTTTAAAAAAACTAATCCAAAAAAGCCGATAGGTATTAATCCAAGAGGTGGATAATTTTTTTACTGTTTTATTCACGCACAAAAATATTTGTGAACACTCACCGTAACGAGAATTCTTGACTCTATCGAAGTACGATCCTTTCCCCTCGATTCCAAGCTTCTGGTAATCCTCAGCCCTCAGGGACAGCACCAGTTGACCTTTCGGTGTAACGCAGATGCAATTTTCGAGATCAATCCTCGTATTTATCGACAACAGAGTTAATTCCCCTAAAAATAACTTGAGTGTATTATAAAACGATGGAAACTGTCCAATTTTAGTGTTCAAGGAGAACCAAGGCTTATCTCAATTTGATCAATTAGATTAATTTTTTTATAATAATTGGAATTCAGAAGAAGACGTCAAGAATATTTTCCAGGAGAAATTTTATCTCGATTGGTAAAATTATTTGTTAGAAAATGATTTTTAAGAAAGGACGAATTGAATAATTCAATCCTGAATTTACCTTTTTTAACAAAAGCCTCGATGAACTCTTTGTCAATGATTCTCCAGACAGGGAGAGCCTCGACTTTGTAGTACTCACTGTCCTCTAGGATATTGTCAACAATATCCACAGGGAGTTCTGTCTTGTGTGGAGCAACAACAGACACCTGGCAACAATCCAAAACCACAAATAATGTGAAATCGTGGGATTACGTAAAAATTGGAATAACTAAAGTCGCAGTATCAAGGAGATAAAGAATGAAAGACAAAGGAGGAGAATTGGATACTTGAAATGTAATGACTAAAGAGGAGAACGACTTACTGAGTGATTGTAGTAATGATTACTAATTGTCAGGGGCACTTCCTGCTGTCTCCAGTGTGCTATTTCATTGTGATGCTGTGGGGCCTTCAAGTCCCACACTTTTGGACACAACATTGGTGCATTGGAGGGACAAATTAAATGAAATAAAACTGCGACGTTTGTTTTGGAGGTGCGAGGGTTAGGCCTGTGGTTGGAGAATCGTTGGGGATTGGTGTGACTGGAGTTTAAATTGTGGAGGGGTAGCACTTGAAATGTACAGTCTCACTGACAATTCATGATTATTCGGAGAGAAATTATTGGTTCAAGTGGAATTCAATTTATTCCACCAAAAATCAATGGGATTCCATCCACGACATCAACTTACTGAAACATGTACTATTGAAATACTAAAAATTTTTTTTAGAGGATAATCACTAAATATTGTTTCCATTTTCTTTTTAAAAAATATTCTAAAATATTCTAAATTAGGCTACATATGGGATGGCATGATTTTATTGGGGAGTTGACAGGTTGTGTTGTAGTTTATTTTTGATTCTTCGAATTGGTTTGATCTAGTACTCATTTTGATGGAATTTTTGGAATTTTAAAATGCATTTGCTGTCACATCTACTGCAATCGTCCTCGGGTTCTTTTTCTATTACTGCCGATCTTTAACGAAGGGAGAGGAATTGCAGTTGAACTATAAAACTGGACACGTGGTTGAGGCCTTTATGATTTGTGCAGAGACGAAGATTTAATTACCTCTTGGAGAGTATTGCATTAACAAGCTTCGGTGGCGCAGCCGGCAGCGCGTAAGTCTCATAATCTTAAGGTCGTGAGTTCGATCCTCACCCGGAGCATTTTTTTTTTGCCCGAAGATTAAACAAAAAATTACCATTCCTTTTTTTAATTCAATATTATCGTCCCTGAAGAAAAAAAAATGAACTGAATGAGCCCTGGACAAGCAGAACGCAATCTTACTCGAAAGGTGACTTATTCTCAGTATATGGAGTGTACAGTATTATCTCACGAATGTAAATTCTGTTTTTTTTCTCTTTATTGTAAAGATTAGATTGAGAAGTTCGGGATTAGTAATGATTCATTTCCGTTTTTTCCTGGACTCGTTTGGATTCTTCTTCATCCAGTACTTGAAGTTAGAATGTCCAGCTCGGATGCCCAGCATTGCAGATTTGGAATTGACATCTCTCATTATAAAGGGAGAGAAGCCTGCGATGTAGTCGTCGTTGAGAGGATCATTCTTCATTCGTGCTAGCCTCGAGGGCCTCTGATCTGGGATTGGCTGGTCCTCACAGAGAATCGGATTGTTGGCGTGTTTTCCTCCTTTCGGAGTCGGCAAGGAGAACTGTGAATATTAAAACCATCAATTTTGCATTCAAAGCAATCGACATGATAAATTATTTCAGATTACCTTTTTTCCTTTGGCAGAGAGCGGTTTTCTGAAATTAATGTGAATCTTCTCATTACCCTGGTCATCCAACGATACCGCGACTTTCTTAAGTGTCTTCAGCCCGCAATTGGGGCAGAATACTTTGGTCATGATGCTGGTGGTCTTAAAGCAAGCGTAACACCGGAAAATAAATGTTCTCATTTGTCTTATGACTCTACCATCCAAGGCAGCGACATTGAGACCGATTTGCATGAGGACATTTTGCATCGCGAAATCAGTCGTCATGCAAGCGACTTTTGCTGGTTTGTCAGATATTATGTCCGATTCCATATCCTTTTTTGCTTGTGCCACATTACCTGAAGAGGAGCATTCAAATAAAAAAATTCAATTATCAAATTATTCTAATTGATTAATATTAACTCCACTCTTGAATCAAGATAACAAAATAAATATTCTAATCTGTAATTGCCTGAATTTGATGAATTGTTTAGAGTTATCATTATATTTCATCGAAAAATTATGTACACTGTTTCATGAGGCCCGAATTAATCGTAGCAGGGAAAATCCATGGATGACCTTGAATACATACCCGGGGTGATCCAGCCCTCATCGTCGTCATCACTCTCCGAGGTGACGACTTCCTCGTCACTCGAGTCCTTGGTAACAGATGCTAGAATTTCGTCGGGGTTCTCAGCCCCAGTCTCCAGCTGGAGTTCATCAGGACTGCAGTTGAGCTTTTGGAACCTTGAAGTCAAATCTTCCGCCAGGGGATCCTGGTCTGATTGAGCAGTGAGATAGCCCTCTGATTCTTCATCTACATCACTGTCAGACGCCCCTGACGTGTCTCCTTTCCCTTCCAGGGTAATTTCTTTCTTTGGAGGATCCCCTGATTCTGAGGTTTTCCCATCGTCTTGAGGATTCTCATCTTCAGAGTCCTCCTCTTCTTTATCCTCACGCCCAGGGATATAAAACCCGATGATACTCTTGGGATGTGCCAGAGGTTCAGATTTTATTGCTGGAAGTGTCTTTACTATCGCAGGTGCCTCTTTGAGGTGATCTTTTCCCACTTTTTCCTTTTCTAATTGATAAGTCAGTGCAATCACTTTAATATCTGTCGCAGAGAGGCTCGTGTAGTCTCCAGTTTTCTTCGCGAATTCCGTGACTGAAAAAAAGAAGAGAAAATAATGACATGAAAAAAATATGGAGCATTTACAATTTGTAGATCTGGAATTAGTGCGGAATTGTCACAATAATTTTAGACAATTTCACATTAACGAGACAGAGATTTTACTCTTTAAAAATCCTCACCAAACTGAATATTCTCAGGAAAGACATCCTTTATTGACAGCTCATAAGGCAACACGACTAGTCTCCTCAGTTGTCTCTTACTTTTTATCTCATCAATAACACTCTGTTCTGTAATAATATTCTCTCCAACTTCCTAAAAAAAAGTATTTCCATAAAACCAAAATCATCGAGCAGAAAATGTCAAAGAAAAATTCCAATAAAAACCCAAACGATGCCATAAAAAAACAATAATAAATATCTCCTGAATTTAACCCAAAATTTAAAATATTGAATTTCTAGTTAATTTGTTATCCCCGAAGAAACCCACCTGAAGAGGAACATTCTTGATGAAAGCACTAGTATCAACAATCAGAAATTCAACTCCCCTGTCTTGCCCCATTTTCATTAATAAATCGTCAGAAATTGACAGTAAAAACAGGAGAAGTTCTGTAATGCCATGTGGTTTCCAAAAACTGTGAAGTTGTCTTCGGGTGGAGTTAGAATTCTTCAAAATGGCCAACCGAGACACCTGAAAAAAATAATTCTAACCTCATATTGTTGTCCAAACTGGATCTCCAGCCAATTTGCACTCAGCAACTACTCCAACAATTGCAGAAGTCGAAAGAATAGGCTTTTCTCGTTGATTTTGACGTGACCTATGGTAAAATGGTGGCATTCTGATTTCTACGTGGTCGTAAAAGTCTCAACAAATGATAACGAGAGGAGATAATTATTGTGTCGTCGTTAGTTCAACGGGCGGATCGCCCACAAACACCAGGGACTCTGCCGTACGCCCTTTGGACAATTAGGTAAATCCATTTTATGTGGTACAGAGGGGCTGAAAATAATGGCAATTGTCCAGGCCTCTGGATCTCGTGGTGAATTTTAATCTGGGGGTTGTTGTAGGATTTATTGGGGACGAGGATTGCTGGATGTCTCATGTGTGTTGGTTCATTGACTGTAAGTGGATTTTTCGTTGTGAAAACAGAAGTCAATGTCTCGTGACGGTTCATGGGTGATTGGGCACTTTGTCATAGGTTGATGCCACTCTTTTTCTGTTTATTCTGATTTTTTTATATCACTCTATGTTTTGATGTCATGCCCTGAAATTCAGGATTGACGTGAATCCTGGAATTTAGGGCATCCTGGAATTTCTCTCGGAAGATTTTGATTTGATATTGACATTTGGGATTTGAAAGTTTCGAGAAAACTTTGCACCAGAATCACTCGCTGCGATGGTAATCAGATAATTATTTCAATTAAAAAAGCAATATCGTGTAATCTAGATGTTAAATAAAATGTTTTCCTGGCGCTGTTCGTTAATGAGGTAATGGCATAATTTGCAGATGTTTCACAGTGATTGTAAACGCTCTGGATTTCAATTCAGGAAGTTGTGAATAAATAATGAAGCAATAGTTATTTTGACGGGTGGGGAGGGAAAAGGAGATGAGTCGCTCAGCAGGATGTGACTTGTGACGGTGATATTGTTTTGGTTTCAGAGTTGATAACCATTGAGCCAGGATGTTGATTCTTGATTAATTAGACATCAGTGCAACTTAGGTATTTGTTGAGAAAATGTCCCACTGTGAAATCGACGGAGCGTCGCCGGGATTTCATCAGCTCAGTGTCACCAGTGAGTATTTGTGGTTCTGGGAATTGTTATGAGGAAAAATAGTTCACCCAAGGCAAGGCCACTTGTCTGAACAATAAAATTAATTTTCGTGTTGAAATTTACTGAAGGCAACACTTTTAGAGAAGAGGTGGAAATATCCTTTGCGTTGACAAAATTAAAGGAATAAATGATAAGAAAATGAATTTGAATTAATCTAACTAATTTGCCAGCCCCTAAAATTATAAAGGCTTTATTAAAATCTATTTTTATTTCTCCAGTTGAAGCAGCAATTTTGCGAAGCTCGAGCTTCCTGAAGCCAAATCCCTACGTGGAATTTTCGATCGACGACAAGAGCCCACGAAAAACCGAAGTGTCAAAAGCCACGTACCAGCCAAAATGGAACGAGCAGTTTACAATTCTCGTGACACCTTATTCCCACCTGCACTTTCGGCTGCTGGATCACAGTACTTTCAGAAAGGACACGACAATTGGGGAGAAGCGAATAAGCCTCTTCCAGATTCTCTCCCACTACAACGGAAATTTGGAGCGCCTAGAGCTGACCCTGGACCTGATAAACGAGAGTAAGCATGATTCCCAGGTGTCAAAGGTGGGTGAATTGGTGACCCTCTTCGATGGATTAAAAATTGACATGTCAACGATATCTCCACCGCAGTGCGACCAGTCGCACGGTCAGTGCACGACCTCTCAAGTTTCAACGAACGATCCGACAAACAGGAGCATTCTGAACGGTGGGATTCGTGCCCTGCTCAGGGCCCAGGCCCCAGAGAATGCCCCGAGGGTCCAGAGAAGTTCCTCGATGATGTACGATCCCACCTTCAACCCACCAGCCTCCCAGTCGATCTCCATATCGACTCCCCCAGGCATTTCCAATGACTCCCCGGGGCTGATTCTGACGAACGGCAGTACAGGTGCCCACGAGGGTGGGACAGAGACTCCTGGTGGTCCCCGACTCCCCGAGAATCTCATGAGGGAGTTGAACATGACGAGATCGACGTCAGAGAGCACCAGTGTCCCCAGACTTCACGAGGGAAGAGTCAATGATAATGCTGTGGTACCTGGATGGAATGGAGCTGGCAGTGAGGCCCCTGGACGGGGCAGTGATGTGAGGCAGGAGGGACGTGTGCCCCGGGTACCTGAAGAGATGATGAGGGAGCAGGAGAATGGACAGGAGGAGCCTCTGCCACCTGGATGGGACATGAGGTACGATATTTATGGAAGAAGATACTACGTTGATCATAACACGCGATCCACCTCGTGGGAGAGCCCTCAGCCGCTGCCTCCTGGCTGGGAGGTACGTCGAGATCCCCGAGGGAGAATTTACTACGTCGATCACAACACCAGGAGCACAACCTGGCAGAGGCCCAACACCGAAAGGCTCCAGCATTATCAGCAGTGGCAGGGAGAACGTCAGTTCGTTGTCCAGCAGGGAAATCAGAGGTTTCTCTATCCCCAGGCACATGGGGGACAGCCTGTTATCCCCGGACCATCGACATCAGCTGCTGTTGATGATGATGACGCCCTCGGGCCACTGCCTGCTGGATGGGAGAGGCGAAAACAACCTGAGGGGAGGGTTTATTACGTTAATCATAAAAACAGAACGACCCAGTGGGAGGACCCCAGGACTCAGGGACAGGAGACGGGGATCGATGAGCCACCGTTGCCTGATGGCTGGGAGATCAGACTCACTGAGGACGGTGTGAGATACTTCGTCGATCACAACACAAGAACAACGACATTCCAAGATCCTAGACCTGGAGCACCCAAGGGTCCCAAGGGGGTCTACAGAGTTCCTAGGGCGTACGAGAGGAGTTTCCGGTGGAAATTGTCACAATTCCGTTTCCTCTGTCAGACCAATGCACTGCCCAATCATATCAAGATCAGTGTCAGCAGACAGACCCTTTTTGAGGATTCGTACCATCAGATTATGAATGCCGAGGCTTTCGCTCTGAGGAGGAGACTGTACATCATCTTCAAAGGTGAGGAGGGACTCGATTATGGTGGAGTCTCCAGGGAATGGTTCTTCCTATTGAGCCACGAGGTACTGAATCCCATGTACTGTCTCTTCGAGTACGCAAATAAGAGTAATTATTCATTGCAAATAAATCCGGCGTCGTACGTTAATCCTGATCACCTACAGTATTTCAAATTCATTGGGAGATTCATCGCAATGGCCCTTTATCATGGAAGATTTATCTACAGTGGATTTACCATGCCCTTCTACAAGCGAATGCTAAATAAAAAATTAGTTATGAAAGACATCGAGTCAATAGATCCGGAATTTTATAAATCACTCGTTTGGATTAAGGAGAATAATATCGATGAATGTGGACTTGAATTGTACTACAGCGTCGATTTTGAGATATTGGGACAGGTCATACATCATGAGCTCAAGGAGGGGGGTGACAAAATCAGAGTCGTTGAGGAGAATAAAGAGGAGTACATCAGGTATTATTATATTAATAATTATACATCCAAATTTTTGATAATTTCATTGTATCAATTGCTGAAATAAATGATTTTGTGATTGATTCTTCAGATTGATGACAGAGTGGAGGATGACACGAGGCATCGAGGACCAGACCAAAGCCTTCCTTGAGGGATTCAACTCAGTGGTGCCCTTGGAATGGCTGAAATATTTCGACGAACGTGAGCTGGAGCTCATGCTTTGTGGCATGCAGGAGATAGACGTGGACGATTGGCAGAGAAATTCAATCTACAGACACTACACAAGGAACAGTAAACAAGTTCTCTGGTTCTGGCAGGTAAGAGCATTGTATTTGATTTATTAAATTGTTAAAGTACAGCACGTACACGTGAAATTCACTTGCTTCGCAGTTCGTGAGAACAACTGACAATGAGAAAAGAGCACGATTGCTGCAATTTGTTACTGGAACGTGTCGAGTGCCTGTTGGAGGATTTGCTGAATTGATGGGTGAGATAGATTTTCAGTGAATTATTTTAACGAAGGAATATTTATTGTTTGTTAATAAATATGGGGAAAGGGCGGTACACCGGTTTTTAGGGAGAAATAACGTATTTTTATGGTTTTGAATTAGTTTACAAGTTGTTGCATTTATCTTCATCAACTCGTTTGTTAAATTTAGGGAGCAATGGACCGCAGAGATTCTGCATCGAGAAAGTGGGCAAGGACACCTGGTTACCACGATCTCACACGTGTTTCAACAGACTGGACCTTCCTCCGTACAAAAGTTATGATCAAATGGTGGAAAAATTGAATTACGCCATCGAGGAAACCGAAGGCTTCGGTCAGGAATAGTATCTCCACATTCTCCACCCCTCACACTGATCATTTATCCGTCATTTTCCAATAATCCAACGCCTTTTTCTTTTACTTTTTCTTTACACCGAATTTATTTTTATCAAAAAAAAACACAAGTGATACCACTATCGCGAGAAATAGAAATTTTATGCAATGTCTGTAGAATTGTCGAGTAGAGATTTGTAAGTGCTATCTGTAGTGGAGTTCTCGAAATCAAAAGAATCTGAGAACTTTCATGAGAAAGTTCAATCGGTGGATAATTGCCAAAACTAAATGAATCTTTTCTTTTTCATATCGTTTTTTGTGAATATTTCCGAATTTAAGAGAGATACCGATAATGTGTGAAGGATCTTCTTGTAGAGCCAAGTGAGGGATGAAAAAATTCGATTGATCATCTTGATGGGCCTCTCTGATCCTGAGATATTCCCCAGAAACAGATCTAAAGAGAAAATATCTCGTTTTATCAATTAATCACTGCAATCATTGTTATTATGATAGAAATTTTTCTTGTATACTTTTTACACGTTTCAAATCATCAATAGGATTATTTCATCTCGGGTTCGAGAACACGAGAGAGTGAGGAAATGCGAAGATTACGGAAATCACGAATTCAATAGAATTATTGTATATAATGATCGTAACCGTAAAAAACACTGTGGTATTTTTAGCAGCGTAGACTGGGAGAGAATTCTTGCTACTTGAGGAACACCCAAAGACATCAGTGAAAGAAAGACATCAATTATTTCCTGATGGATTTTTAATAATTCGATAATTAACCGACGAAATATTCGAATCGATTTCGTTCAGGTACCAGTTTTCAATGAATATCTCGGAATTGAAGAAAGATATCGAAATTTTCATAGGAAACTTTTTGTACAGCTGGATTAGATCTAGAAAAACTTTCCTACAAAGATTTGACTATCACTCTTAGATTCAGAGATATTTCGCAAAAACGAGAATAGGATTTTAGAATACTTGAAAGTTTTTACTTCTGAATTGTTGTTTTGTTTCCCTTTTCTATTCTGGAATTGACTGACTCAGTTTCGGAACAGACGCATTATTATGATTGAGAAATATTGAAGAATTTCCCTCCGGCCAGAGTGTGAATTCATCGCAGCCTACGATCGAGTTATTTGTAAATAGTACTGTTGGCGATAGGTAATGACGTAAACAATTGTATAAATCTCCGTATGAACTCTTGAAAGTTGAAGTAACATCTTGTGTGTATGTGTGAGTGATTTAATTGTCTAATTAATTGAAGGTTCGAATACGTACGCGGGAAATTTTAATGATGAAGTGGTGGGGTCCTACTAATTGTGGAATTATCTCGAGAACAAGGGGGTTGGGGTGAAAAATTCATAAGATCTTTTTTGTGAGATATTTAATTTTGAGCAAAACAAGTCTATACACATTTTCGCGTAAACCCTCTATTTACTGAGTTAGGCCACATGATGTGTTTCACCAGTTTGTTACTGAATCAATTCTGGCGAAGAATAGTTTTGGAATCCTTTGATTCTACCCTATGGAGGAAGAAACATGGAAATAGCAAAATGTCAGCAGCTCTGTGAATTTATTTTTGGATTGATTTGATAAATGAGACAGTGGAATGTCTCAATTCGTTCAATTCAATTGGAGGATCAACGATTTCCGTTCATTCAAAGACTGCTCAATAGATTGTACCCATACCAATGAGGATTGAGAATGAGAATCTGCGAGAGTGACTGAAGCTCCAGTGAAGACGATTTTCGTAAATAGTGCAGTGCCAACGGTAGACGATTATCACGTGATTTTAAATCAATCGATATTGATTTTGTATTGGAGTGGACCGATGAAAAATCACAATCAAAATGCGCGATTATCTCGAGAACAAGTTATTACAGGAAAATTAATGTAGAGGACTTTTTTGCAGAGAATGAAATCTCCGACGAAAAATATCTTGGCACTTTTTTGTCTAGGATGACTCGTTATCGGGGTAATTGAAAATTTGTGATTGAATTGTTGCCTCTTCATTATTGAATCAAGTTGAGACTTTATTTCCTTCATTTTCTGCAAATTTTGGTAGACTGTCTTGCAACAATCCATTAAATATATCTGGGCCTGGTTTCACGGTAGTATCTAAGGTTTATTAGAACTGTATATATGTTTGTACAGAGTATATACAATTAATAAAATTAATTTATGGTTGAAAACGCCAGGAAATTCTCTCGTTTCTATATTTAAATTTTATTATCAATTTTCTAATAATAATTTCACTAGGAAACTCAAAACACTCCCTTTCCTCCTGATTTCATATAGTCTAAATCAAATCACGTAGTTAACTATTCCATAATTTAATATCTGACTATTGTAACGATTTGCTGGATCTTCAAATTTCCTATATTTTTCTTACAATTTCGGACTGAAGTCGAAGAATTTGCTCCAGGGGAATTTAGTCAGAGTCCCCGGCTCGATCATCGGCTCGACAGACTTCCAATTTTTATCGAGTGTATTCAGCTCATCTGAAAGTAAACAGTCACTTTATTACAGATTCTAAAATTATTTCGAGGACTGAAGGCACGCACTTGGATCCATATTCTCGAAATTTTCAGTTTGGGTCTCGACTCCATCCTTATCCTTTTTTATCACGACAGTGTGGATTTTCTCCCCCATCCTGTGCTTGACGATGGTTTCGGAGTTTCCCTCGTTGTCTTTTGTAGTCCTCCTCTCCTCGATCGATCCATCAGGACGCCTAATTGTCTGAGAAACAATAGATTGCCCAAACGATCGGAATTTAAATGGCTGGGGAGAAGTCAATTCTCCTTCGGGCTCAGCAGTTCCATTCCAAACCCTGGAGAAATCTTTGAGATCCACTCTGCACTCAGAAAATAAAATCAGTTCATAACCCAGGATTTCTGATAAAAACTGTCATCACAAATTAAAAAAAGTGAATCACTGCTGGATTTTCGAGAATGAATCTTAAAAATTGATTTTTTTTAGGAGTGAAATAAAAATTGTGGACTCTTCTCACTTTCCATCAAGATCTTCATCACACTTGGGGATATCAACCCCATGGTTAGGTGGTGGTAGGGTGTACCCAGGTTTCAAAACTTCATCCCTCAAGTCCCTCTCCTGCTGATTTGGTGGCATAATCTGTGAAAATCCCTCGAAGGGTATCTCCTTGCCCTCTCCAAGCCCAAAGCTGAAGAAATCCTTCATCATAGTGTCCATCTGCGATTCAAAGTACCTAGTCATCTCGAAAGGATCCGTGAATATCTCGAAGTGAAATCCTCGACGAGAATGCCCAGGATGTCTACAACAATTACAGACATCAATGAAAACTCGAGTCTTAATAAATGAATTTTTCCTGCTTGTCAAACCTGTAGTCTTCCCCATACTCTTCATCGTCATCTTCATCATTCTGCCAGATAGGATTCCTGAATCTGTCGCCAAAAATTCGTTGATCATCGTTCCTGGAAAAAAAATAGAGACTGCAATTTTTCAGATGGAATTCTCAACACGAATGGAAGTTTCCAGAGCCTAGAGCTGCCCTGAGCCCTCGAAATCAATGAGAATCCCCAGAAATAATCACTCACCCCGGATTCACACGATGATTATCTCCTCCCCCGAACAAACTCTCCAGGATAGACTTCAGGAACATGATTTACTCATACAAAACCCTCGAAACGTCAACTACGCGTTTTCTCGTTACGTCACATTCGTAAATACTGCATCATCAGATTTTTTCTCATTTACGTCGACGTTCTTCATGTTCTCCTTCCACACCGACGTGAATCTAGTCGATTTAACCTCAATTCAAGTGATTTCATTATCCCAGAACGTCTGAATAAATAATTCATTGTTTTCTCTTGAGTTTGTTGAACAAATCTCCGAATTATTGGAATTGCCGTTGCTGTATTGATCAGAGAATTGTAACTCAGACTTCAGAACAAGAAGATGATTTTCAAATATAAACACCAGATGAAACTTCATTACTCTTAATTATTCTTAATGAGTAAACAAACGATCGACATTTATCAATTCTCGAGTGTTGATTGTCGAAGAAATCAAAAGGTGAGTATCTTGTTTAATTTAAAATTTATTAATTTAAAATTTATCAATGCAATTATTTCGGAGAAATTTTCCATGAATTTCATTTTTCTAATAAATATCGTAATAAAAAAGTACTGCAAACAAAAAAAAAACATTTTCAAACTTCTCAATTTCTCCTTTTTATGAGCAGAACCTGAAGATGTTGATGGGCATCTGTACCTTGCACATGTCCATCCCTGGAGGACACTAGGGTATCAAAAAAAAAAAAAATTGATCCATCCACAAAGATGAACAGCATCTCAGGACAATTTCGCAAGACGACGTGGGATCCACTGCTGATAATATCCCAGATAACAGCTGTACAAACAGTTCTGTACTTCTCCCTGGGCATTTGGATCTGGATAGCCACGATTTTTCTGGGAGCAACGAGATCCCTGGACTACGCATTCCACTACAAGGAGATTCACGTGAGAGATCACGGTGGTAGATTAGTTATCGCGATATTCGTGATTAATTCATTGATTGGGGCTGTAGCTCTCTGGTGGCTCGTCCAGAGGACGAAACAGTGCATGGATTTTACCTGCACAGCTCATTTGATTCATTTGCTATGCTGTTGGATCTACAATTCGAGTTTTCCTACGACATTCAGCTGGTGGTGTCTCAATATCGTGTCGATGACAATCATGTGTGTTTGCGGGGAATTTCTGTGCATGAGGACAGAGCTCAAAGCCATTCCCCTGGGGATGAACAGCCAGAAGACAGCATTGTAATTACTATTTGGCCCTGATAAACATTGAATTCAAATCATTCGCATCGGAGAACAGAATAAATAAATCCATTTTGTTAATCATTTTGTAGAAGCTTGAGGTTGTTTTTTTTCTTCACGAAACGAATCTGCAAAATTATTTTTTAACATTTCAGGATTTAAATCTTAGCTCTTGTGATAAATGTCTGCAGTATCGATGGAGTCATTTAGAAAATCAGATAATCTTCCCGTATATCAAAAGGGCAATCGGTTTTTCATTTGTTTTCGACTTCAATTAATCGATTCTCGTTCAGTACTCGATTATTGCTCAATGTTTGATTTTTATCCTGAGGATCGATCAGAGAATTGCCGAAGAGAACGTCGTCAAAGTCGGCCGACGAGCAAACACCCCCATTGCGTGTGGCGCCCTCCCTCTCTTGGGGTGCAGTATTACGATGGCACTGGGGTCTTTCAAACCCCCAGAACTGAGCCTCTACTTCAGTCAATCCTCTTTGCCCCCGGCCGCTTTAGTGGCGTTAGTAATATACATAGTGTCATCAGAATAATCAAGAAAGAATAAAAGGAATTCCTGGAATCACGTAATTATGGTGGGAATTCAGTAAATCTCATATTCACGGAGTAAAATAGGAAGTCTCCATTCTGGCATATTGGAAGACGTTACAATCTCAGAGAAATCATAAAATTATTATTTGTTGCCAATCAGAGTTTACTACTGTCACAACAATGTTGTCGAGTATTGTAAAGGAACATCAGAGCAAACAGCACGCACGAAAAGAACTCCAGGGTAAATTAAATTTTCCTGGTTCAAGAATCAAATTGATTTATGTGTTCAACGATATTTAAAGGAATATAGTTATATATATATATATTATTATTATATATATAACTATATTTCTTGAAATATTATAATTATGAGTTAACTCGATTTGATATCTCAATTACTGAGATAGATTTGTTCAGTGATGATTAACAATAAATGTCGATTTTTCAATCACGATCATTAACTAATTATGATAAATGTTAATGATTTGTTAATTTTGAGCAGAACAAAAACGCAAAGAGGCTATACAAGCTGCTAATAACTTGACCCAAGCACTTGTGGATCATCTGAACGTTGGGTGAGTATTAAATTTTGACATTTCGTCATTAGGTCAACAATGCTGATCTCAACGAGGTCAAATTGTCATTATTATTTTTATTTGTTTTTCTTTTTTTTTGCACTATAGAGTGGCTCAGGCGTATTTAAACCAGAAGAAACTCGATGCAGAGGCGAAGCAACTGCAGCAGAGTGCAACGACTTTTGCTAAACAGACACATTCTTGGCTGACTCTGGTGGAGTCCTTCTCTAGTGCCTTGAAAGAGATTGGAGATGCTGAGAACTGGGCCAGAAGCATCGAGGGAGACATGAGGACTATCGCCACTGCCTTGGAATATTCTTACAAAGGTCATTGTAATTTTTACACTTGTTTTCCCTTTTTCAATCACAAACTCAATCATTTCCTAAAAAATAGCAATATAAATAATTTATTAATCTTTTTTTCCAGCAACTCAAGAAGTCCATGGACCCACCCCTAATCAATAGCCCAAACAAACAACACTAAATGTATGATCTCAATCATTTTATTATTAATTGATAATATACAATATACAGTAGAAAAATCAATAATCAAGGGCGGGAAATAAACAATCACCACAAACTTGTTCTCTTTATTAAATCCAAACATCCTCAATCGATAACATAAAAGAAAAATAAACACAATCATGATAATTGTACATAATATTGATACGAGGACAGAAGGGATGGGATGGTGGAGGGATTTAGGATGGGACTGACTGTGGAATTTACATAGTAAATATATATCTTTCCACTTTAATTTAATAAACAATAGTTTCATTTCTTCATAGCTTCCCACCGTAATCCTGTTGTTGGTATCAAACTGATAAAGAATATGATCAGCTGAGAACAATGTACTCTTGAAAATGAACAATCGTTGAACATCTTGAATACTCTATCTTCAGGTGCACCCGAAACTTTTTTTTTTATTAATGTATTTTTTTACATATCGTCTCTTGCTGATGCTTTAATCCCCTCAAAACATCATACGTTGAGGACTTTTTATTTTCACTCTTCAAGTCTCCAAGACTTCTCTCGTCGTCAAACTGTAGATCATATTCTTTGTCACGCGTTAACTTAAACCTTGACTTTTATATTTTCTTGAATATTGAACTTTATCGAATTTTGTTTCTTGTTATCAGCATTAAATCTTCATGATATCTTGCCCAAACAATTTTTCAACGTTTTTTATACTTCAAACTTCCCTCTATCATCCAATACCTCTTGATTCAAAACCTTATAAACAAACAAATATGTTAGAGGAGTTACAGTGTTGCTTTCCATATGTATTATATATTTATGGTAATTGCTTATAATAAATGGTTTGCATAGGTTTTTTTTTTTCAAAGGAAAAAATTACCACATTTAGTAGTCGTACCCTCGAGAATGGGGAAGGAGACTCGTTAAAACGGTTGGAATACAACTGTCTCAGTGAAAGTTATCTCTGGATTTTCATTCGTTTATTTAATTCGTAGAGGAACAAAAAGGATTGTCGCTAATCCAGTGGCAATTCATTTCGTCCCTTTACCACAATCATTTACTCAATCAATTAAAAAATTTATAAGAAAATCGATAGCTCCATCATATTCCAACCTTTACATTATAGCCATAAGAATATAGAAAGGATATCCCCAATCTTATCTCCATAATAAAAAAGGAAAGCTTTTTTTATCACGAAAAAAAGGATGTCAGTATTCTCACCTTACTGAGCCCCAAGTGCGTAATTTATCAGAATAAATTGAATCACAAATGAGGGATTGAAATTCAAATATTTTTCAAAACATCCCTCAGAACCGAATGAGTTAATTCAAAGCGGTTTTAAAATTTGAACGAAACTTCGAATAGTGACAAGCAATGGATTCCGAATTCAATGAAATGGAAAAAAATTGAATGGTAATTCTAATTTGCAATTAACAATTCCTTAATTGACTCCACGTTTCAAAAAAAAAAAAACAGGGCAGAGTAAGATGAGTACTGGACTCTATCTCCCGTCCACGTCAAACCGACCCCTCGAAAAAAAAACAAAGCAACTAGTAAAATCACTCGACTCTGTTCTTTCAAAACGAGAAACAAAAATGAGATTTGGGAGAAAAGAGAAAAAAAAAACAACGGGGGGAGGATTAAAGTTAAGAGATAAATGGCTCCCGAAACACCTGGCCTTCTCGATCGCTCAGTTTAATATCGACCTGAAATTCATTAAGCAACAGAAAGAAAAATACTAATAATTTGCATGAATCTGTTTGAACCCGTGAGTAACAAGGGTCGTATTAAAAAATTTATATTTATCTATTGAAATAATTCCGAGGCTCTCAACGCATCTCTCGTCAGTTTGTCGTCCATATTTTATGGGTTTTCTCAATACCTTAATCGAGTAGAATGTTAAATGGAACGATAAATCGAGTGATAGAGACACACCAGCCAATGTATTAATCCAGAATATTTTTTTTTTCTAGTGGTGAATTTTTATCGAGTGACAATCGATCAGAGCCATTGAAATATTTTAGTCTTGAGGGAAGGGAATTAATCTGAAGAATACAGACTGGCATGTCGTATTTATGGTATAGTGAGTTCATACATAGACGGAATCATGGAAGGATCTGACTTACGTGGAGAGTAAGAGCGTGACCTGGTGCGATCGTAACGTGTCCTGCGACGATTGTAGTGGGGACTGGGCGATCGACGATAACTTCCTCTGTAGCTAGAGCTTCTGTGAACGATAATTCATGTGATAATCGTCTCCTCAATTTTGCAACTCAATTCCACGAGGAAAAAACGTTAAGACTCAGAAAATCTTTATTATTTATACTATATTTCGTCACTAGATCTTTAGGAATTTTTATATTTATATTTATATTTATTTATTCACTTAAATGGGCGAATATTTTTTGAATCTTTCCCCTGTAGATATACAATGAAAATTGATAGAGATAAAGGGAAAACTGTTGATTTTAGTGACGTATTGTGATTGCAGTAGAAATTAAGATTTTAAAATTGAGATGGGAAATACAATTTCGAATTGTGAGAATTATTTTAATATTTAGATACTTACTCTCTACGTCTAGGTCCACTCCACCCCTTATCGTGCAAATGTGTGGGTTTTCCCATGTAAATACCAGGGGTGGGTGTGTGGGCCCGTTGAGTTATAGAAAAATCAACTCTGATACGTCTTCCATCAATTTCCATCCCTGAGCATTGCTCCTTGGCAACTTTGGCGTCCTCACTCGATTCAAAATACACAAAGCAAAATCCTCTAGACCGTCCAGTCTGAAACCCAAAAAACCCACAGTCGAATCACAACTGAAACAACTACAAACTTATTACAATATAATTAAATAAATAAATTAACTCAATTTTATTGACTTCAATTGTTTGATTGTAGCCAGAGGCCTTTAACGAATTGCATATTCTTTAAAACAATTGTTCTAAATCTCTGGCATTTATCTCCCAGAAAGTTGTGAAAACCTTCTGGATATATTTTAAATTAGTTTAATAGTATAATAATGATAATAAAATAAATAAATTTTCCTTCTCTTGAATAAATGAAAGTAATTAAAAAATTCCGTTGTTTTCAATATATTATATATTATATTACTATAAATAAAAAATGAAAGATGATATTGATATTTGAATGGGAAAATACCTTAGCATCATTAACGACTTGCACACGTTCAACAGGTCCGTACTTTGAGAAAATATGATGAATCTGTAGTTCAGTGGTGTAAATGGAGAGTCCGAATACCCCGAGGCACCTCGAGGGACACGGATTATCCCGATTACCCACGTGTCTTCGTCTCGATGACATTGGACTTCTCGAGTGAGAGCGATAGATGTGTCTGTCCCTCTCCCTCGAGTATCTCGATCGAGAGTACGACCTTGATCTGCTCCTGGAGTATCGTCCACCACCACTGCGATAGGGTGATCTGCCACGACTACGACTGCGTCCAGCTGAATATTTGGCATTGCGATAGGCTTTTCGTCCACGTGATACTGAACGACTCCTCGACCTCGAGTACTCCTTCATCGGTCTGTGGCCATCCTTTCGGTCTCGTGATCTTGAACGTGAACGAGAGTCACGAATACCATCCTCCACTGCACGAGATCTCCGGGGACTCGCACTCCGACTGCCGTTGTGCTGTTTTCAATAATCAATTGATTAATTTAATAATTAATTATTGATGACGTACATTGGATTAACTGTAGGGTGAGTTTTTCGAAACACTTTCGCAATATCTTTGAAACTACGGCGCACAGCGGTTTTTTTGTCAGAACCTTTTTTGTAGGTTTCACTTCGATCTGCAAAAAAGGTTTTGACGAGAATTTTGTCATTTGCGTAGTTTCGGAGATATTTCACAGAAATCCGTGGGCTTCCCTGGAAGTTCGATCAGAATTTAACCAATTGATTGAGTTTGGATTGTGATGTTTTCTTAATGTTTAACGAAATCATTGAATTAAAAAATCGAGTATTTTATTGATTCTTCGATTATTTTCATCGAAACAAAATGGAGTACTCCAATGAATTTCGGGATTGAATCCTGAAAAAATCGAAAATTTTCAATAGTTCACTGTGGCATTACAAATAAACGCAAAAGCTTTGGGCTTATCCCCCGACAAATATACCTATTTAACGAGCGATAAAAATTCGAGGAAAAAAATGATGGGCTCGAGTTCCCAATTTAAAAAAACATTAATAGAAATACCTTCATTGTCTCCTGCTTCTTCGAAATCCGTGAAAATCTTCGAACTTGAATGAATTGATAAGAAAATTCTACTTCTCCCCCGAAAATGTGGCCCTCGAGTTAACCTTTATTGAATCGCTTGGCAACGATAAACAAAAGTGTAACCCGGGGTTACCTGGATAATAACCAGATAAATCCCTCTGACAACAACAAACAAGAGCATCAGTAGGTGATTGTTAAGTCGTCAGACTCGTGGGAAATAAATAAACCATAAGAAAACACGATAAAATTTTGAAAAATCTCAGCAACTGGCGGATCAATAGCCTGCGATCACATGGTCATAGGTGATTATATAATGAGAAATGACAGGTGTTTGTTTTTAAATAAATATTGTTAATTGCCTTACCTCAATTTCACTCATCATCGAGAACGGGAGCAAATGATTTCTTTCCAAATAAATGTGGAGGACCGGTGTGAGGCCCCAACTCCTTGACTAGTGGCGTCTCAAGTGATAATGGCGTACGCTTCGTTTTTTGCGTGGATGGCGCCTCTCATTTTTGGCGGGACATTCAATTTCTCTATTTCTCCACTGAATATTAAATGTTCAAAACATGTTAACACGCCTTCGAAATAAATTCGTAATTTTTCCATTATGAGATTTTCAAGGCTTTCCCCTTTTTGTCATCAAATTGATAAAAAAATTATTTGACCTTCATAAAAAAATGCAATTGAACGAATTAACCGAATAAATGCGGATATTGTTAGTAAAAATAAAATCAGTCGTAATTGAATCCTAGTATTTTATGATTCAAATAATATATTAATACCGGTTTAAAATTCTCCGCGCTTTTATCTGCCGTACGACGGGTGCGCGTGGGTGATGCGTATGAAAATCCCACGCGTGGGATTTCCCCCCTTGGGGGTAAATGCGCGCGCACTCTGAGCTTTCATTCATAAATACGATGAAAAACCTGGAAAAACAGCTAATAATCAACGAATAATTGTCTACACACAATGAATTTGTGATTGAAGTGGAAAAAGGTGTGGACGAACCGGTGGGTCCGGAGAGACTTGTTTTTTCGTGATAACAATCACTGGCATTGGAATATAAAACAATGGATGACCAGGATGGGAGCAACAATAACCTCTCGATGAGAGAGGCACTAGTGAGTTTTATTTAATTTATTGTATAACTGCAGGTCATTGGGATTGTTTATTATTTGAAACTCTGTGCAGTGATTATTGATGCAGGGGGTGAAAGGGGGGCTAGGGTCAATCAGGAGTCATTAGGGTAGAATAATTGATGAGGGGTCAATGTACAAGCATCGGGAGAGTGATTGACCATTGTTTAAAAATCTCATTCCATGAATTCCTGTATTTTGGACAATAGGGAATAGACGCATTTTCACGTGGAATTTGGTGAATATTCATTAATGTTTATTTTTCCTGTATAAAATAATAGTCTCGGGAAGATTTTTGAAATTTATGGAAGAATCGCATAGAGTGGATTAATTGCAAGAAATATTAAATCTAGAAAATTATTAAAGAGATATTGAGACAAGATTTTGTGAGAAATTCTCAGACGAAAGAAATTCATTATGATAAGTAAATTAAAATAGCAATAAAGTTCGCTGCAGGTTAAAAAAATTAACATTGTAAAAATAGTAATTTGGATGAAAATTTAACGTGCAGATTACCACAGCTATGAAGTTTCTTCAGAATCCAAAGGTATCGTCTAGTCCCTTGAAGCAGAGACAGGATTTTTTGAGAAGAAAGGGTCTCTCCGAGGATGAAATCAGGAAGGCCTGTGATCTGGCAGGTGTCGCAGAAGTCAATGACTTCACGAGTGTTCTCATCCCCCAGAATTATGTGTACCAAGGACACGACTATCAGGTGATGCAACCCACGCTCTTCCACAGGATCAGAGAATACTTCAATACTGCTGCACTAATCGGTGCGACTTTCTACTGCATTTACTGGTTTTACAAGGTAAATTCCCTTTAATATAATATTTTCTCAAAATTATCAGTCTGATGAATAATAAATCCACTGTTAATTTTCAATTCCCAGAAATTCATCCAGCCCCTGTTATTCGGTCGCAAGAAGGACTCGATAAAAGACACAGTGGAGGACCTGGACAAAACTGTGAAGGACTCCCTCAGGGAAATGAAGGAATCCATTTCTAAGGTCGAGAGCAGTGTGAAGAAGATGTCCCAGCACCAAACCCCAGATGCAACGATTCCACACCTTGTTCAGGAGTTGAAGCAGGATTTGGCTAGTCTCAAGGGTCTTCTGCTTTCTAGGAAACAATTCCCCAGTGCTCCACTTTTCATCCCACCCTGGCAGCTCGAGGCCTCGACCCAGAGTCGAGAGAAGGCTGCAGAACGGGAGGACGACGGTGGTAGTGGCAGTAGCACCAACAACTCTGACAGCTCCCTCGAGATGATTCGAGAAGACCCTCCAAAGTAGATTTTAATTTATTGCAAGGGGTTCAGGTAAAAGTGATGGCATGCTTTGGGAAAATCAAGTTGATTAGGTTTTTTCAAAATTATCTCAGAGGTAAAAGGTTCAAGAGACAGGAGTAGAGGACTTTTTACTGGGACATTGAGTTGATTCTATCATCTGTCACCACTGAATTCGATTTCCACTTTAGTCACGGCTCTGTGTTATAATTTTTACATCAATCGAGGATTGCCATGAATTTTATACTATAATTTAGACTTTTTTTTGTATATAATACGGTGAGAGGAATATTGATATGCTCAATGTGGATTCTTTGGCGAATTTTTTTCTCCCACAAAAACTATCGACGATATTCGTTATTATTGAATAAATAATTGAGTATTTTTACTTGTACGAGTGTTTCCATTTGCCCCAACATTAATTTTTTCCATGCAGTGACGTAATCTCTTCGTTATTTTCAAGTTGATCGTCTGGTTCGACGTTGAACAAATAAATATACCAATGGTTGAAAAGGAAATTTATAATTTTATTCACTCGTATTCAATTAATCGATTGTAGATAAATGTTCATGTACTCCATGAACATATCAAGACTGCCTGAGTCAAATTCTTCCTGAAAGAATTACATTCATAACAAATTTATATGTTTCGTTTCCCATTTTTTCATGTAATTTCAATATGTAACTTTATTAATACTCTTTATTCATTAGATTAATCATAATTGTGGACGGGTGCCTCACTGATACAGTGAGTTGCACCAGTCTGTCTAAAAAAAAAGAAAAATCTGTGACTTAGTATCTTCTTTTCACCATTTTATGAGCCATCCTAGGTGGATGGTACAAATAAAAATTTACATATTTTAGTTTTTAATTGCAAACGAACGAGCAAACGAGTTTTTTTGAAACATTGAAAATAATTACAGATATAATCCACTATTAATCGAATCAAGAGAGTAATCAGGAGTTCCACGAACATATCTTGTTTATAAATCGATCTTTGGCTGATGCAATTTTTTATTTCGATCAATTGAGGAAGTTACTTTTTATTAAATTATGTACATAAATAAACAAAAGGTAAATCGAGGATTTCATTGTGATCCTAGGACGCTTTGTGCTGACGAAAGTATTGGCTGACGTTTCCAATTTCATTGGTATGAACTCGAATAAATATTCATAGAGTTTAGCAGCTAATTGTCGAGAGAACCGAATTGATTGTTACTTCATTCATCATTTCGGGAATATCTTGGGTACTAGAAGGTTGAGAGAAAAAGTTATACGACTTCTTTTGTAGAAAATTTCTGCAGCTACAAAAAAAGTTCTGTGGAATTTTCTTCTAAATGCTGGAGTTTTCGAGATATTTACAATCTACATTTTGTTCTTTTTCGCAACTTTATTAAATCTCAAAAAATTCGGTACTGGCAATTTTACAAAAATCTCGGAAACCAGTGGATTTAGAGAAAAAGTCCCCATGGCAAAAAGTAGAGAGTATTCCACGCCCATCAAAAATTTGTAATAACATTTCTGCCTAAGTCAAGTGATTTTCGTGATATTCGCTGAATGAGTTTTGCTGTTACGAACTCTCGAGCAAATCAGCAACAGTGAATTTCCTCCCCAAAATTTAGAAAAATAAACGAATAAACAAGATAGTTTCCTCATCTTCTCGTAATCAGGGTGTTCTATATCTATTTCAATAACAGTATTTAATCCTAAGATTAGACACACTAAACTGCATTATAATAATTTTTGCTTCCTTCAGTTTTTTGTTTTTTTCTTTTTATCTAGTCTAGTCTAATTGAGTCGATTGAATGATGGGATGGGATCAGTTAGCTACCCAGTGTGAGGTAGGTGTAGATTTCTCGATAGTACTGAGCGCACGTCCTGGGTAAAACGCAGAGCGTCCAGAACTGGAAGGAGACTTAGCAAAGCTGTGTCACCAGCATCACTAAACCACGATTTTATTGGTATTGCATTATCTAAAAATCCACAATAAATCATTAAACACTTGTTAATATAAAATATAAAAATAAATATAAAATACAATTAAAATTGAAATTAGGATTGCACTCACGCGGATAAGCTCTGTAAGCCCCAGGGCTATTATCAAGTATGAAAACAGAAGCCAAATCCGAGCAAATGGCAGCTAGGTCCTTGGTGTAAAAACCCATTTCAGGAGTGCAGTGTTGTCTGTAATATCTACGTCTCAATATACCCCTGTTGTTGTCAAGTTTATCAGCAACTGCTGCACCGTATATCTCCATAGATGCTGTGAACACTACGAGCTCATACCTGAGGAAGAATATTCATAATTACTCACGAGAATTCAATCATCAATTAATATAAAGAAGAATCCAATGCAAAATCACTCTCCAGATAATTTGAATATCTTGGGAATTGAGAGGTTTAGGTCGTGAGAAGTTTTTTGTCGCGAATTTTATGAGCAGTCAGTTTTTTTTGGCAAACTCATCGATTCTCGAGATATTTATGATTTACGGAGGGAGAAATGAGGATTGTTTGTATTTCTTACCACTGACTAACAATATCCAGGAAAAAATCAACATGCGGTCTCTTGTGGACGAAGAATCTGACCGGATGTCGGTCTATCGTCACCTTAAGAACAAAATCAGGAGGCGTTCCAGGCCTGACAGTTGGCCTCGCAACTCCATCGTGATGTGAGTGTATCAGCGTCTCATCTAGATCTAACACTAACACTTTTCTCTTTACTATGCCTAGAAAAAAAGGTCCCCAATTACAACAACTCCAGGACACAGAAAAATACAATAAAATCCTTACTGAGTCTGTGCCTGGATAACGGCGACAGTGGGAAGATCTCGTATTTCACTGGTTGCATCTGCGAGATCTGTAATTAAATAAATAACGAGTCAATATCCCAGTCAATCCATCAAACCGAAGGTCTCAGTACTCAGATAAGATAAAAATTTTCTGTAAGCGATATTGGTGAAACAACAAAGGAAATATAGAAAGAATAGTGATAATAGTGGTAATGAATGACGAACAATGGCAACTTCTGATGATTTCCATTGTTAAAATTGATAAAAATTCAGAAAAAAACTGTGAAAAATGAGAAAAAACGATGACAGGCGCTGTGCACCAACTTACGGCTCTAACCTGCTTCTTGAGCAGAAAGCAGATGCATGTCCACACGCGGGAAGCCATAAGAAGGAAAGCTCTCATCCCCATCTGCAATTGCTTGAGCATGTCTATGATAATAGTAACCGGGCCGAAGTCCGGCACTGGCACAAACCCCAGTCAATGGTCTATTGTTCCTGGCACTTGGAGAATGAAGTTAAAAAAAAGCAAAAGAAAAGGAAATCCCTCACTACTGTTGTCAATATCTCACTCTCTCCACTCTCTGTTTATTTCTTCCCGTGGGAAATCCGTACCTCAAAAATACTCGTGTGTAAACAAATCGGGTTAACTTCGGGGTGATAGCATTATCCTCGGCACAAGATGAATTCGATTCTTCAACAACACCAACGGCTATTCTCCACTTAGAATTTGTTTGTTTGTTTTTGTTTTTTTTCGGAGTTGATTCACATTGTTAGGGGCTGTGGAATCGTTCTGGGGATCCAAGAAATGGCGATATTTTTGGGGGTAATTGGCGATCGAGACGGCCTGGTGATGATAAATACCGAGAGCACTAGCCATACCGCACACAAGCCGCCATTTTTCGCACATCGACCCATTTTGTCAGTGTGTGGGTTTTATTTATTACCTGGGGTGGGGGTGCGCATGACAAGTCTAATCTGATTTTATCAATTGATATGGTTTTTTTTTATTACCCTCATTTATTCAAAGAGTTGTCAATTTTACTTTTTTTTTGTTTAATTTTTTTTTCAACTCGTAAAATTTTTTTCTTGTAAACTCGTAAAATTATGATTAATAATCAAATGGAATGAGTGATAATTCAATTATCATATGAATGATAATTATTTGCTCACCGTTGGCCTTTCTTCCTCCAAGATTTACGGATTTTGACATTCAAATTATTAATACTCGTCTACAGAAATAAACTCGACAAGATAATAACTATAACTAATTTTACAAAATTAGACATTCGAATGAGCAACTGTTTTCTCAACTCTTGGCGCGTCTCCGAATTCGGGAAAACTTGTTATTGTGATCATTGAATGATGGAGAATAAACAAATTATGAAAATCAATCACAATAAATCCTTGGAATTATCTCTCATCACTATAATAAACTCAAGTCGAAAGATTTTCCATAAAACATGAAGGGAAACTCGAAAAAGCGCGGAAATGATCGATCGCCGTTTGAAAATGCCGCGGAATTCCCACTGGTAAAGCAGATCCTTTGAAATTTCGCTCATTCCGCTCCACGAGCCGATTTAAAAATTTGACAGACGTTTAAATTACATTTCCTGTCCAAAAAAAAAAATCCGTAAAACTTTTGCCCAAAAAAAATCGGGTATATTTATCCGAATATCTCAAAAATGAGCAAGAATAGAGAAATTTTCATTGAACCTTTTTTATAGCTTTCCCTCCTGCCAACAAAAAAGTTCTTTACCAAAATCTTCCATCTCTAACATTTTCCGGGATATTCCCAATAAAAAGATTTTCTCCCGCCGCTCAAAAAATCGCTCGATTGTAAACTCCCAAGTTCTTATGATAAAGCAGATTTCTTCCCCTATCTGCTCACCTGTTTTCCCCGAAATCCGCCATCATCCGCCATGATACTAGAATATACTCCCAGCCTCCAGAAGCAGCTGCTTGGCGTGGCTATAGCCTAGCATTTTCATTCTGTTACTCAAATAAATTCAGTACCGTAAACACGTCAGTTACTCCAAAATAAAAAACGAGAGAAAAAACAACAAAAATAGTCTCAAAACATCCCCTAATCATAAGCCAAGTGTAAATAAGACAACAGCTGTAGTCAGGAGCATTGAAAATCAATCAGAGATGACGGATTTAACTGAAGTGAAGATGAACGTTGCTGCCCTGAAACGCGTTGATCCGTACATCAGGGATATCCTGGAGACAGCAACTCATGTTGCACTTTATACTTTTAATGCTGACAACAATGAATGGGAGAAGACTGACATCGAGGGGGCATTATTCGTTTACTCGAGAACAGGAGAGCCCTACAATAGTATCTTGATCATGAACCGGTAAATTAACCCAATTTTTTATCACCACAGGATTATTCACGATTTTTTAAAATAATTTTAGAGATATTTTTCCGAGAATTAAACACACATGTCTCTAAACACACTCCATATTTGTTGGAGATTGAGAATAATTTTTGTGAAATTTTTTTTTATTGCAATAAATTTTCATTGCCCGTGGTGATGTGTTTGATGCAGTAATAAGGGGTTGACTAGTGCTTGAGTGAAATAAATAATATTTTTGCAGCCTGAATACAAATAATCTGGTGGAACCAGTAACACAGGGGCTGGACCTTCAACTCCAGGAGCCATTTCTGCTGTATAGAAATGCAAAATGCAATATCTACGGTATTTGGTTTTATGACAAAGACGAGTGCGTGAGAATTGGCTCGATGCTGGATAAACTCGTCAAGGTTTCTGATGAGAATCGTAAGACAGTGGCGAATTCCGGTGGAAAGGGAAAAAAGGCTGCCAAGGCCACCACCAATAATGTCGATATATTCAGTATGCTGAGTAAAGCGCAGGAGGACTTCAACACTACTAAAGGATCAGGGAAAAAATCCGATGGCAATGGAATTGGTAATATCAGTATCAATGAAAATCAAGGAAATATTACACCACTTTCTGCACCACTGGGGCTCGATGTCACGTCCCAGAGTGTAATGGACTTCTTCGCAAAGGCGAAGGTGAGGAATTTTGCAAGAATTATTTAAAAAATTTGTCTAAATTTTTGAGTAATTCTCCTGTTACCATTTGAAATGAAAATAAATGATATTTTGATCTGTCTCTAGGTGAATACAGGACACTTCAAAGCTGGTGATCAACCAACTCCAAGTGTTCACGCAGTGAGTGAGACAAAGCCCTTCCTGGCACGTCTGATGTCTCACCCAGCAGCTCACACCCTTGAACACATCGAGAAGCAACAGAGGTCAACGACTCCACAGCCCCTGCAACCAGCTATTCCCTCAATCCTTCCACCAGCAATAGTTCGCACCCAGAAGTTCATAGCCCAACGTCCCTCGCCTGGTAAACCCAAAAAACAGAGTAAAATGACGCCTCAACAACAGGAATCTGTGGTTTCCACGTTGAATTCAGTCTCACAGGAACTCCAGAGACAATCCAAGTGTATTAATGATACAAATGGCTCTATGAGCTTTCACAGGATACAGTCACCCACTACACCGTCCAGTGTTCTCAATCAGACGACTAGGCATGGAATTTTTAGTATTGGGGGACAGTCTATTGATTGCACGAGGAATGTACGTATTTTTCAATTCATAATAACAATTAGTGACTAAGTAAATTTATCTATGGATAATTAATTTGAGAAAATTAAAATAGTTTTTATGATTTATGAATTAGATTGGGGAAATAATTTTGGTTTGCAGATGCACGACGATTCGATGGGGACAGGTTCCCTCCCTGAGGCCATATCTGCTCTCCCTCTGTCCTTCGTCAATCTGGGAATGGAGTGCAAACCCTCTGGCTTCACCTCTCCCACAGGGTCTCACCCACCTCTGACAAATGCTTACCTGCAAACTCCGGATGAGACACCCACGAGACATTTACACGGTGTGGCCTCAGCACCAGCACTCATTCCTCCAGTGATGTTCTCGGCCCCCAGCCCCTCGGAACCCCCCAACCGACCACTGGAGCCCCTCACCAGGAATCAACTGCTCCAGGCCTTCAACTATCTTCTCAAGAACGATTCAGACTTCATAAACAAACTCCACGAGGCGTACGTCAAGTCCTTCAGTGAAATCCTCTCATAGATCACCATCGATCAATTATTTTTGTGATTATTTTTTATTGCGGGCTACAGTCGATCGATCGGTGTTTTAATCGATGTGGAGTTGGAAATGGGATTGATATGGGCATGAAAATGATATTAAATTGAGATAAAATGGGAAAATCCGGTGGAAGTAATTGTGGAGAAAATTTCGATAAAATTTGGGTCACACTGGAGACAAGGTGAAAAAAAATGGAAAATAAGTCCGATTTTCGTTCTTTTTCGTGAGGAGACGAATGAAAAATTGAATCATTATTTTTTATAAAAAAAGAAAATGAAAAGATGGAAAATGCAACAGGAATGTAACGAATCATGGGTGAAGTGGGGATTTTAATCTGTGATGCCAAAAAAATAAACCCTCGAGTTGTGGCGACAATTGTTTTACAATTCGATTTAATCATTGTTTCCGGTATTAATGAGCGAGCAATCGACGATGAGAGAAGTGTTGAGACGTTGTCTATTTTATAGAGTTGTGACGTAAACATCCTCGAGATGTGGACACGACAGTGGGAGGTGGGGGAAATGGAGAACTTAAAATGAGGATGTGATGAGTTATTTTGATTTACAGATGAAAATAAATGAGAATACAACCGGTTAAAAATTCGTTTCGGTTTATTATTATTTTTTTTCGAGCTTTCTGGCTTTTTCCTTTTTGTTTAAACTATTTTATCACAATATAATATTCCAGCATATTATATGGAATACGATTACACATGCGCAGAGGGATTTTCACATTTTCTTTGAGTAATAATAAATGAGTCTCAGTTAAATTTTCATGGGAAGAATTGATTCTGGAATATTAGACATTTCATGGAGTTTTATTTTGGGTAAATTAGAAATTGATCCAAAATAATCTATTAATCCAATTCCATCAAGTGCAAAAATTCCCTCCACAAAACTCCTTGGCACTTAGTGATCTTCAATTGACAAGCACTACTTCCTCAAAAGAAAAAAAAAATTAACACGTGAAATCATTGGAATCAAAAGGTGACGAGAAAACGTGAGTAATAAATCAACAGCCCCTCGACGAATTAAAAATTCCCCGAGGAGGGCATAAAACAATCAAGTGCGCGGTGCTTAGAAATAAAATACGAAACATCCTTAAACCTAATCGAATATTTACAATTTGCATAATTAATAACGAATAAAAAAAAAAGAGTGAAGGGAGCTCTTGAGAAATCGACAAAAGTCGTTTTTTCATCCCTCGAAATATATTAGAAGAGCCTAAATGATAAATCTTCTCGCAGATTCCAATTCTCCCGTGATTCTTCAAAAAGAAATCGAAATGGAGAAATCTCGGAACCGGCCGCGAGGGAAATGCGAGTGAATATCTGAGTAGCTCAGAAGTAAAAGGACTCAATTGTTTCAATTTTAACTGATCTAACAGACACAATGAACAAAATAATAAAATAATATTTCTGAATACGTCGAATCGTTTCACCTCTTTGCTACTGCCGTGAGTAATTAATTAATTAACAGTAAGTGATTAACATTCTCGATGATTTTTCAATTTTTCTCATAGAAATTCACAGCCACAAGGAGCCACAGGGTTCTCCAGCTTCTTGTTTAATTAATTCGTGTTGTTTAAACTCTTGAGAGTGATTCTCAAACCGTCGATTGATAGTGGGGGTCATGTGAAGTCTTTGGGTATTCCTTCAGATCCATATTCTGTTATTTATCGGTGTTTAATTAGACGAGGGGAATTTTTGGAGAGCCCAGGAGAGGTGGTGCATTGTCCGGTGTCCTGTGGGGGCCCAATTTGTCAGATTGCGTTGGCAGAGGCTGAAGAAGTCTTATCGCAAGACTCGCGAGAATGAGAAGAACGATTAAGCCACATATGGGGACTGCGATAGTCGCTGTCTTAAACCAACCATCTGCTGTCCTCGACGTCTGCCCCGTTGGCTCGATCGGTCCCAGAAATGCCCTTTGATCGCCGACTAGAACTGGAGGAAAAAGGGGAGAATGAGTCATCAGCAAAAAAATATTGTCGTTAATCTCTTAATCAGGGGAATTTTTGGAATCTCCAGGGAATTACTGGATAATTGGCTCGGCTCTTGAGATCTTTCAAATAAAATCTCATGTTTCAGTATATTATCTCCACAAAGAGAGGATCTACGAGATTGCTCTTAAACTACAGAAATTAGCGAGTGTTTTCCGTAAATATCTTCCATCTTAAGACAGCAGAATTTTCGCAGAAACTTGTTGCAGGTGAGGTGGATGGAAAGAATTCTCGGTGAGGTCCGAAAAAAATACCGTTAAACTTCATAAAATATATATTTCACGAATACTCTTTGGTTTAGAGCAATGCGGTGATGCACAGAGTTTAGTTGAAGTATTATTATAATTGGTAGATGAAACCGATTGATAACCGGAGATTTAGCTAAGTGACTAACAACCGACGTGGAGATTGGCTGACGCTTTTGTTAAAACTGAATTCGCTCTTGAACTTCAATGCTCACGCTATCATTGCTGATACACGAATGAATTTTTGATTGATCGTCTCCTCCGGGTTTTCCCGTCGATCGTTGACCCAAACTGTCACGAAATTTATCAAAACGATCCGAATATCAACCGTGAAATTGACAATCCTGCTTTTAGAATAGAATGAGAACTGCAAAAAAGGTTATTCAAAAATTTCGCTATTTTCCTTCCATTGAGAGCTATTCCCGGAAAATTTCCTGGATTTGATCTGTTATCGTGAGGATTGAGGGAAATGAGGAAAATTGGTGATGATTTTAGCGGAAATACAAACCTTGAAGTGTCTTATTGAGCCTGCTCATGACAGCAGGACTGTCAACGTGATTGCAGAGATCCTGATCGCAGCAGAGGAAGCCAGGAGGACAGCGTTTTTCCTTGAAGCTCTCTTCGAGGCAGCCATTGTAAACACTGTGCTCGGGTCTCACAACCAATGGATTAGTGCTGGATGGCAATCCCGTAAAACATCCTCTTCCACGGCACATGTAGCCTTGCGGTACACATTCCGGTTGGTTGCAGTAGCACCTGACCTCACGACCACCTGTTGATCCTGTCAACATGATAAACCACTCACGTCAAGCTAAACCATTCAATCTGTCCTGAAATATATGACTAATAATATCCAAAGAGCTCTGCAAAATTATTGACGATTCATTCAATAATATACTATAATCCCCATAAAATAATATAATCCCCATAAAATAATATAATCAATTATGTATACAATATGTGAATACCTGGCTGAACACCAGTTGCAAGTTCTTGAACGAAATTTCAATTCAGTGAATGGAAATGAATTTTTTTTGATTTACCAATCCCCCAAACAGCTGTCGATGCTGTCACCGAACAAACCCACTGACACTTCTCATTAAAAATTCCCTCTCTCTAAAATCCATGACTAATCACATTTAATTCCCCCATGATGTCCCTCAAATCCGTCCAAACACATCACATAAACTTTCTCCAACAAAAACCCCCTCATCATTACTTCATCCATCTCTATCCCCCGCTAATAAGGCCCCAGCGGCGATTCGCCAGTTTACCATCGGTGAATTAAGCAAAAAAAAGTTGGAAAAATAAATGAGAAATGTTGGAGGAAAGAGGAACAAGAAGAAGACGCTAAAACAGTCGAGTCACAAGAAAAAGATTAAGGCTTGAGGAGAAATATATGGTAGAGGGAGGAATTCTGCTGCCGGCGGCTACTTCTCCCTCTATTCGAGAGAAAGAGGCCGATGAAACGAGAGGCAAATGAAAAGAAAAAAAGAGGAAAAAAAACGAAAATTGAAAAAAGGAAAAGAAGGAAAAAAAAGGAAAAAAAGAGGATGGAGTGCGGAAGGAGGACAGCACTGAATCTGTGGAGGCATTCGATGTATTTTTTCGTTGGGATGGAGAGAGACCTTTTGCCTCGGCATTTCTCGTCTCTTATCCCCGATGGAGAGGAACAGCAGGAGGTCGAGTGCCCGAGAGAGAGAGGAAATATCCGAAAACAAACAGACTTCTTCGTGGGGCCGTTAGTTATGCGTCCACGGCATATTAATTATTTTCCGACAAGAGCCCCTACGACTCTGGCTTCTATCTCATTTTTTACCCATCGCACAGTTTTCGGCCTCTTTTTTACCTCGCCGGTTTTGATCGGCATGACTACGACGAATATAAATAAATATATGTAGGAATTGACCTGGACAATTCAATATTTTTAATATGTATATTATATTGTACATACACTATACGTCTGGAATTTAAAATTTTTCTGAATAATATGAAACCAGCGAATTTCCTCATTTCGGAATTTTCGATAAAGATAAGATCCAAAATGTCTCTAATAGCTGTCATAAAACGTAAGGCCCAGATAATCTTGATTATTTATTACATTTGAAACGAAATAAAAAAAATTGTAATATATATATATATAGATTTTTGTGTTTTTGTTTTTAGTTTAAAACATCAAATTAATATAATTAAATCATTTTTTTTTAATAAACTAAACTATGTGGCAAAAACAGTCACATTGTTTTTTTAATTTTTAAAAAGGCAGTCACTCAATGTGTCTCTGTATATTCTTTGTTTAATTACCCAAACAATGAAAATTAATCTACTTATCATATCCACCCATTTTCCTATCCAAAAAATATGGCCTTTAATTTATATTAAAAAAAGCACAAGCTATAGAAAATATATTCGTAAAATAGAAAATTGTTTGGAAAATATTAATCTGAGTGTTTTAAAAATAATAAATAAGAAAAGTGCAGACAACGCCTCTTTCTCACTCCCTGTCATAGCTACACCTCAGAAATGAGCGAGACTCATTAAATTTTTTATAGCAAAAAAATTTTATTAACCACCCGAGATAACTGGCAGCTGCCCGAGGGTTAGAAAGCGTCAATTTACCGAGATCTCACGTAACAACCGTACCCCATGTGCAATTAGAAGGTAAAGTACAACGAGCCTACTTGAATATATCTTGACGCACAAAGTGCGCAGCTTCTCAATACCCCAGCCACCATTAACAACATCAAGTCATAAAACTACCAAGAAACTACCATCATCTAGTCCCTATGCCCAACGTATTATTTTGTTGCTTAACTCTTCAAATAGCCGCATAAACAATTTTTCTGATGGCTAACAGACTCCACAGAGTTCCTCCAATCCGAGAGACTTCAAGAGAAAGTTTCACATTGCCTCATAAATTTATATATCATTGAATTCCAGTTAATAAATGAAAATTATGTTTATGTACTCAATATAAATTAAATAAACCACTGCAAAATTATGGTTTTGCATTTTGTTATGTGCAAAATGAGTTAGTACTCTATTTTTTATACTCCAATTTTTCCGACAGCTTTTGGATATTTGAGATATTTCTATTTGATGTAATTCGTGGGATTGCGAAACTTGAATCAATTGATGTGGTCTGGTTCTAATTGAGACTGGAATGAGGACGAGAAATTATGGTGAGGTTTTTTCATTTTTAATTTTTTTTTTTGAAAAGGGCTTTGGAGCTGATGTAAATGTCGAGTTTGGCTGATGCAGCACGTGCCTGTGATACGAATCTGTGTGAATACAATCCTTAGAGATTCGAGGAAGGACCGAATGAGGAAGAGAGAAGAATCTGTGTCGTCTCAATTCCATTAGCAAAACTCCGGTGGTGAATGTCTGGGATGAAATACGAATGGCTGTCGTATTTTACACACTGCGGAAGCTCAACAGGTTGCCTCAGGGCTGTTGTTGGTCTTTTCATCTGATTGTCATATTGCAACGTATCACCAATTTCTCCAATTGCAACACAAGTATTTCTTCCTGTCCAATACCAATTATTCACTCTATTTACTTGTACTATTCGTACTTACATCTACGCCATTATCCACTCCACGCACATTTTTTGTTTAAATTTGTAAGTAATATAGTATATTGTAGTACAAGTGCGTAAAACACTATTTTTTCAGACGGATGTCTGGAAAACACAGTTTCCATAAAATCGCGTTTCCCAGTTGTTAAAGTTGGGCCGCGGAAAACATATCACATATTCGGGCTGAGACTGAAAATAACTGTTTCATCACCGTGTGCGGAAAAGTAACTTTTCAAACACGCTCCGCTTCGCTTCGCGTGCCTATATTATATTGTAATATAATTATCGCCTCGTCTTCGGTTCGTGCTATAAACCTCCAACACGTCAAAAGTCAATTTTCCGCACTTGTTCCGAAATCTACTATTCGAGGATAAATCCTATTTTTAATCAGAATATGGGAAAAGTCGGAGTCTGCGCACGTGGGTGGTTTGTAAAGTGTTACTTTATACATGGTGCGACGAAAAGTGACATTTTCAGGCGGGTACCACAAAAATTAATATCCGGATTATATAGTTTCGACGGTTCTGTTGACTTGATTAGTGGTGTTGATGAAAAGATATCAACATGTTGTCCTAATATCTCCAACTGTTTAATTACTCCAATTATCATGAGCCCCAAAGTATTCCCACGGCATTCCTCAAGCGCAAAAATTCAATAATCTATTCTCAGCGAAAGTCGTGAATATGTATTTCGAGATGATTCCCAGCATTCATCCACGTACTTCCACATGACTCTCCATCTATTTCCGTCCCCCATCCTCTCACCGAAAAAACCCCGATAAACACGCGATGGAGAGAGTCTTTGATGATTAATAAAAACGGTAACGAAGAGGAGATAATAAGCCATTGCACAGGAGAATTAAAAAAAAAGGATAAAGGGGGGGGGGAGGAGGGGACAGATGCCTTCTGGAGTTCCTCGACGGGGGGCCCAGGAATTTTATTGCCAGGGACTCGAACATTTTCTGTTCTCAGATCCGGTCTCTTTTGAGTCCTGACCTCAGCCCCCCTATTGGTTACATACTCCCAGTCATTTTTGAATTATTAAACAACATTAAATAGCAGATATAAACTTGGGGCTTGATGCCAACGATTTAAATGATTTTCTATCACTTGCTGTTCGCTATTTTCATACCTGTTCAAGGACAGCATGCACATAAAAGCAATTATTAATTAATAATTAATATTCAACCGCAAGTAATGAATTTGCTAGTTAGGTTCGTAAATATTTCAACAGCTATGCAATAATTTAAATAATTAATTAAACATAAAAAAACAAGTGAAAAATCCTCTGATTTTTTCTGATTTTTTCACCAGATGATTTATTATCATTATCTATTATCAATTATCAATTTTGGAATTCGACATAAAACGATGGGAGGAGTCGATGATTCCGGACAAAATTCTTCTCTCCCCCATTTATTTCTCGGCATCGATCCTCCGAAGAAGTCCCTTTGTACTGGATAAGTCCCTTTGTTTTATTTGTCCCTCAATTTTTATTTGTCCCTTCCCGTTTGGCATTCGTTGGATAATTCAGGTTCCTTGTTGTATTTCGTGTGTTCCTCTTTCTTTCAACTCCCGGGGTTTTGCGAGACGTTCGTTCGGGCATCGGTCCCACGTTGGGCCCCACGTTGGGCCCGGTTAGCGGGGAGATAAAGGGAGGGGATAAAAAGGGGGCCATTAGATGGGTTTTTTTTGGAGGGGGCTGCCCCCATGAGAGCTAGATGTGGTTAGAGGTTTATTTATACTGGACGGGTTTATAAGCATCGGGAACGTGGCTTTTGATTTTTGAGAGATCGGGCCCATTGATAGCTCCAGAAATTAGCAGATTGAAGGGGGGAGGGGGTAATAGGAAATGTCTACAAGTTGTAAATCAAATCTACTCGGTTCGGCACGGGGGGGGGGGGAGATATTGACGATGATAAGACCCTTGACCTTGGCCTGGGGACTCATTACATGGTCGATTTCTCCAGGAAAATTCTCCCGTAAATTCTCAACGATTCGTTGGGGCTATTGTTCTGGGCATTTTGCTTTCTTGGGAAATTTTGAAAGTTTTTTGGAATTGTCACGTCGAATAATTGATTGCAAGGAGAATGTAGGGCCTGGTCATGCAATTATGGGCCCGATGGGCTTTTTTTTTGTCTTCCAAAATGTGTGGGGATGGGGAGGAGAATTGGAGTTTTCACATCCTGTAGTGATAGAAAATGG